TTGGACTAGATGATCTTAAAGGTCCCTTCCAACCCAGACAATTCTCTGATTCTATGATTTTGTTTTCCTCCCTGGTGTTGCAGGGTCTCAGATAAACCACTGGGAATTTGCAGTGCTGTCTTCTCGGCTGCTCTCTGAGCGCTCGGGTGACACCAGCAATAGCAGCAGAACCCCTACAGTTGGGTGTTCTACCTCAGAAGACTGAGTGGAGAAATCAATGTCCGGATTATGGCCTAGGTCTAAAGGGAAAATAGAAAGGCCAGCCTGCAGGAAGGTTGGTGCTGGCTTGTGGGAGGTACTGTGGATGCTGCAGGGCAGGGGAAGGGGTGCCCAGCATTGGTAGCATCTGCCTGGGGGTGGGAGATGGTGGTTCCCTCAGGGGTGGAGCTGGCAGCGCTGACGGGAGAAGAAGGGCTGAAACAGTGACACACAAGGAGGTGCCACCACTCCTCTGCCGTGTGGAGCGGACACAGCAGGAATGCCATGGTGAGGGCAGAGGGGAGGAAGGACAGCCCTCCTCCTCCTCATGCCCTCCATAAATCTGTGTCTGGTCTGTCCTGGCCAGGAGTCTTCTGTTTGTGCCTTCTGCGGTCGGGTTTCCACTGCTCTCCTGATTGGGGGGTAAAAGCAGACTGGGGAAACCCTTTGGACTTAGATGGAGAAAGGTTGGGGTTTTTTTTGGTCATGAATTATCCTGGTTGTTAGGAAAATATCCCTGCCCTCTGCATTGCACACTGAAGCTAGAACCTGCTAGCGACTGCAGATTTGGGTAAAACATGGTTTTAATCACAAAAACATCTGTGCATGTTGCCTTTCTCCTGTCCTCTAAAGTTGCGGTGCCCTGGCTCTTGACTCTTCCCTTCTTTTTTAAAAAAAAAAAACCCCACAAAATAGTATATAGTTCAGATAGGAAGAAAAATCTGGAAGGACATTGAAGAGCAATATTTTTTAAGTTCTCTGGTGCTAAAATGAGTTTTTGAAATAGACTCCATGGTGGAAAAAAATTCCATTTACCGCTGCAGAGATTATGCTTTTCTGTAAACATTTTCTAAGCAGGGATATGTGAGCGGGGCTGCCAGAAGAAAGACGTGGCATCTTTTCGGTGAGTCAATCCGAAGGGATTCCAGCTATGTTTTACACAGGACTAAGGAGGAGCAGGAATGTTGGTGGAAATGGTTAAGTGAGGAGTTTGCAGAGGTACCTGTCATCTGAGAGAGGGTATAGAGTCAAGACCCGAGTTTGTGGAAATGCCTCAGAGCCCGGAGTGCTGCCGTCCTCATTTACACTGGCACAAGCTCTGGCTCCCTGTGCCAAGCCCTACAGTCATTTTTCTGGAACCTCTGTCCTTTTTGGGGAGTGGAAGCTGAGACATTCAGGCCTGGTCCTGGTGGCGGGTGGTGTCAGCTGAGGAAGGGGCAGCCTCAGTTCCCGGGTTGGAGTCAGGCCCAGGCAATGGGAGGAACATGAGATGCCAGCCTTTCTGCAGCTCTCCCTAAGTTTAAAAAAAGAAGCATGCATCTCTGTATTTTCCTATTCATTTTGCTGATAACAAGACTCCAAAAAATGGTACGATGGCAAAGTGTGTTAAAACAAGGACTTAATTTCCCAGTGCTGTCCCTACCACGTTGCCTTTGGTTCTTCTTCTGCTGGAGTGTCCTCAATGCCGAGGACTGAGGAAAAGGAGGCAGGACAATGTGGCGTTTGTTTCCGCAGTATTTCCATATATTTCCTCAATGGAGTATTTATTGAATGAATACAGTACGAGCTTCAGGAATTCTGTGAGAGGAACGGTTTTGTGAGCGATGAGGAAGGACGTTTTTTCTTGAAGGATCACGTCACTTCTGTGGGAAGTTTTTTTGGGTGTTTGTTTTTTAATTTTCCTCAAGATGAGTCTGGAATGGTCCACTGGCTTTTCCCTGCCTTCTCCTGCAGCTTGGGCACAGCTCCTGGCAGGGAGGTGACTTTAGCTGATTCCTGGTGGCCCCAGGGACCCCAGTCCTTGCCCTCCGTGGCCTGTGGCAGCCGTGTGGGTTCCTCTGTGGCCGCCCACAGAGGATGCGACGAGTCAGAGGGAGACCTTTTGAGGTCTGTGATGCCTTCTGCAGGGGCTGTAGCAGCTCCAGGCACCTTTCCAAACCTGCTGCTGCTGCCAGGAGTTAGTTATGTGTAATATTGAACAACTGAAGGGCTCCCTTGAGGGGATGTGCTGAAGGACGGTGACAATGGTTGCCATTTCTGTGGACAGAGGACTCAACTGAGACCACGTGTAAATCGTGTGGAAGTGTGACCCACCACACGTGGGTAGAAGTGTCCCAGCAGTGCCACTGGCTGGCTGTTGGGCACTGGTTAACTCTTCAGAAGGATTAAATAAATACAACTATCATATAATCAAGCTATATAAAAGTATTATTAAATTATAAATATAATCAAGTGGGCAGAAAAACGGGGTGAATTTCAGCAATTTGGGATCAAGGCAATATTTTTCCTGTGGCTCTGGCTCCAGCCCATGGGCAGCCACCCCTGGGCGTAGCTGAGCAGAGCCCCAGGGGACTGATGGTGGTGGCTTTGGGAGCCTCTGAGAACATGGGAAAGTGCTTGCAACGGCGGGGAAGTTCACTGCAACGCCAAGGAGTTTCGGCTCTGCCCAGGCTGCTCGGCTCCTAACAAAATAATTGTGTAGTGACATGAACTGGAAGAGGATTACCTCATGCCCCGGAGCTGGGTTTGGCTGCCTGGGAAGGAGATGGGGCTGTGGGCTTTGTCGGGGCAGCCAGGGAGGCTGCAGCTCCCCAATGCTGCTCTGGTGGGGAAAGGCTGTCCCTGTTTTGCTCGAAGGAGAAGTGACTGATTTAAATCTCCCTCCTCCCCAGCTGCTTCCCCCTCTGCACCACGGCTGCGTTTGGCTCAGACCCCATGTCAGGCCTGGGAACGCGGCAGAAAAGCAGCATTTCTGCCTTAAGATGGGGTGTAACGTTGGTGTGTGCGTTGGCCTGGGTAAAGATGGAAATAAAAACCCCACCGTGCGAATATGGGGTTTGTGCCGGGTGACCCCCAGTGTGCTGAGGTCTCTGCTGCAGCCGTGGCTGTAATTAGCCGGGTTGGACTGATTGAAGGTGCTGTGGCAATGCTTACCATGTGCATGTGCATCCAGGCACATGTGGCAAACAAAGCTAAGGTCCTGTTCCTTGTTAATAACCCATTATCAGCAGTGACAAAGGTTTGGGGTTTGTTTTTCTGGTGGCACACAGGCAGGGGTTGTGGTCACACAAACCCCAGCTTTAGCACAGCCTTATTTCATGGGAGGGTGGGAACTGGAGAAGGGTTAGGCTTTTGGAATTCTCGAGAGAAATCTCAGGAGGCAGCTTTATACCGTCTCTGTTGTTGCTCATTTCCCTCCATCCAGCCTCCCTTACCAGTGAAATAGCATCAGCCCTTAAAAAAATTCTCCCCAGTTCACAGTATTCCATCTCTCTGGAGTTAGGAAGGCAGACCTTTCCTTTAGCTAAAATGATGTCTCTCAGTGCAATTATTAAGCATAATTAGGTCTCCCTTATTAAGGGGAGACCTTCTGGCTCTCTCCAACTCCCTGAAAGGAGGGTGTAGCCAGGGGGGGTCGGTCTCTTCTCCCAAGGAACAGGTGATGGGACAAGAGGAAACAGCCTCAAGTTGCACCAGGGGAGGTTTAGGATGGATTTTGGGGAAAATGTTCGCACGGAAAGGGTTATGAAGCCTTGGACTGGGCTGCCCAGGGCAGTGGTTGAGGCACCATCCCTGGAGGGATTTAAAAGCCAGGTTGACATAGTGCTTAGAGCCATGGGTTAGTGATGTTTTTTATTGGAGTGAGGTTGATGGTTGGACTTGATGATCATAAAGATCCCTTCCAACCCAGACAATTCCCGGATTCTATTTGGGGATGGAGCTGTTTGGGTAGGTGTTGGGGATGAGTGTATCAATGAGTGGAGGGGTTTGTGTTGCCTGTGAGTGGGGTGTCCTGTGGGGCTGTGTTCTGGGGGCTGTCCTGCAGCCCTGTGTGCTGGCCGTGGGGCTCCTGTGGGGCAGGGTGCCCTCTCCCCTGGCTGCTGGGAAAAATGGGGTGTATTTTCCCTCAGACTCCCAACTGGAATACCCCGAATGGTGGTGGGGCTGTGCAGAGTCCTTGGCTGCCTGTGCTGCTGCTGGAGCAAAGAGGAGAGAGGGACGACAGGAAAAAAACACAGTGGCTTTAAGGGTAGCGTCAACATGTTGTGGGAAGAGCTGTGTTGCTCAGGGCCCAGAGCCACATGTCCCCGTTAGGCTGCTGAACAGCAGAATGAAGGACTGGAGTGTGCTACCCACAGGCTTGGTCTGTGGGATGTGAGTCATCTGGTTTAACTGGGGTTATAATTCCAGGGGATGACACATGCCGGATGGGGTTTGTCCTTCAGCGTCCAGCCCCTCCAGACCTCCTCCTCTCTGCCACCGTCCAAGGGGAGAACTTATTGACTGGGAAAATTAACATATGTTGGAGTTTAAAGGTTCAAGTTATTGCTTCATCTCGGAGTGCTTTTATGTCCGGGGCCAAGAAGGATATAAATTAAATGAATTAATTACATTTTGTTTTGCTTACTGCATGAAGCAAATGAGTAAAAGATTGGTATAAACCTATTATTTTTTTAAGAGCTGTAAAAAGGTCTAACTGCACGGGATCAGCAGGGGAAAATAGGAGTTAATAGGAGCCAGCAAGAGCCTGGGCATCCAAGGGGGCAGCCCGCGTCCTGGGGGGCACCAAGCACATCTGGTGCTGGGCAAAAGCAGTGATTATCTGCCATAATTAGTGCTGGTGCTGCCTCACCCTGAGCAGGGGGTGCAGCTCTGGACCCCACAGTTCCAGAAGGATGTGGAGGTCCTTGAATGAACCCAGAGGAGGGCAACAAACTGTTTGTTAAACCTGCTGGTGTTGATGTCTGGGTAAGTTTTTTATAAGCTTTCTGACAGTGCGGTATTTCTTCTTTTTTCTTCAGATTCCTTTGGGACTCTTGTTCTTCCCGCAGTAAGTACCCCTTTCCTTGCCTCTTTGCTCAGAAAATGGTGACTCTCCGTAGCTTTTCATCAGTGGGTGTTGATGAGACGACGTGTTGATGAGATGGTGTATTTTGGAGGTGGCCGTAGCTATTTCCACACGCCCAGAGGAGCGGCTTTACTGAGCCACAAGCCAAGGAGGTTTCAGACCAAGTGCTCCTCAGCTTGGGACAAGTGATGGGGGGATTTGGGAGCTGACTCCCAGCACAAACCATCATCAAACCCGAACACAGAACTTGGCTTTGTGGGTTTTTCTGAAGGGCTGATACCTACGGCTCGGTTTCACACCCACCATGGGGGCTAATTGGACCTGAAAGAATTCTGCAAAGCCATAATGGAGAAATGTTAAAATCAACATGTATTTATACACAGGCCTTGGAAATGCACATTCAGTGAAAGCACATAAGTGAGCTAGTAAAACAAGAAGTGTAATACTGAATTGTGTGTTGAGTATGAATCCTGAATATATAACCCTGCATGTTCATCTGGAAAACCCAATCCAAAGAATTCTGCATTTGTGTCAGGAAAAAAAGTTTTACCAAAGTATTTATTTTTTTTAACCATCTGTTAGTTTGAATATCCCTAAATCCAGTGATTTAAATTCTCATCTCAAGTAAACTGTGTCTCTGGTGAAATAATCTGGAAACGTTTGATAGATGGGTAATCAATAGCAACGAGCAGCTCAGCATTGCGGAGACTGCCAGGTTGGAATGTGTCTGTACCAACTGGAAACCAACAACCCTAGGAAATTCAGTTTTAAATAAAAAAAAATGCAGGCAGCACCCCATGCTATCTGTCATTATTCGTGACAGGAAAAGATACAGAAAAATATGTGAGGTCTCTAAATGGCATTTACAGACTTATAAAGAAGAAATCAAAGACAATCCTTGCAAGTCTGTTAAAATAATGCTGTCAGAGCACAATTCACAACCAAACAAACCAAGCCTATTTTCCCCCTGTTTTGATTTTGAATATTTATAATATTTCTTGGACTCCTTGTAGGGAATCTTGTCTGCTTTTTAGGGAATACACCTTCTTTCATAAATGATAGTATTTGTAAAATTAATTTTGAGGTAATATTTGACAGATGCAATAAAGAAAGGCTGTTCCTCCTATTTAATACATTCCAGAATACTTGGCCTGGAGGTTGGAGAGTGTTGAAATATGTGAATCATATGTTCTTGGCAACGTGTACACAAAAACCTGCAGCTGAAGAAAATGTAGCATGTATTTCAGTGTGGAGCTTTGCACCTAAAATCTTGTTACATAAATGCGGATTTTAAAGGGGGAACTCTTCTTTCTGTGCCATCCTACGCCTGCTCGTGGGTGAAAAAGAGAGCCTGTTTATTTTTCCCTTTTCTGTTTTTTTTTGTTTTGTTTTGTTTTAATTTTCCTGGCTTGTTTTTAAAAGCAGAAATTCAACAGAGAGGGATGAAATTGTAGCTGATTCCTCTTTGTAGGTAAACACATAGAGAAGGAAACGTTCAATACAGACAGTAGCATCTACCTGGTTTGTCACCTTGTGACATTTTTGCCCGTTTGGGACTTCCTGTTACCTCCCCGCGGGCTCTTAAAGTGAGTTTTGCCAACACGGCAGCCCTTCCTTATGGGATGCTCTGGAAGCACCGTGCCCGGTGAGCTCCCAGCTGGAATTCCTATTGCCAGGGGAAGAGCAGCTCTTTGTTTCCATATGTTATGCTGAAAAATGCAAGTCTGGAGGTTTTGCCCCAGATTTACTGTTGTAAAACCTTTTCCTCCCCCAAAGGGCCACCCCTGAGCCCCCGCTGTTGGGGCTGGGTGTCCCTGCCATCACTCCCTGTCTTCTGACCAAGGTGAGGTCCCCTGGTGCTGCAGAGCTCTTCTCTGAGCCTTTCCACCCCTGGGGCTGGGATTCCTCCTGACTGTAGGAAATGATCTGAATTAGGAGCCCTGGATTTCCTCTTTCTGCTGGAGAGACAGGCAGAGAGACCTCTGCGTGGTTATAATATATTTATAAATTTCCTCGCCAGGGATGCCTGGCTGTGGTTGCTGCCAGCCCTCAGGTAGCCTTCAGTGTCCATCCTAAACAAGTTAGCCATAGAAAATGCCTCTTCCTTTGTTCCTTAATATTTTGGGAATCACAGAAGGGTTAGAGTTGGAAGGGACCTTTAAGATCATTGAGTTCCAATTTTCCTTCCTAGATGAGTCGCAATATGTGCTGTAATCATGAATTCATTAAACTGAGACAGAATCAGTGAGGTTTCTGTTGGAAAAGCAGTACCCCACCTCATGACATCTTCACGCTGAATTTGATTTTTCTACCCCACAGGACATGAAGCTAAAGCTTGTAAAAATAAGAGCAAGTTTTTCCTCCTGTCCTGCTCATACTGGCTGCATAGAGCTTCTTCAGCTCTTTTTTTTTTCTTTTTTAAAGTCATTACCAAAAAATTTATGAAATTATGAAAAAATTAGGAAAAAATTTGCTCCCAAGATCAAGTGCTCCCCCCTCCAATACTTCTAAATATCTGAAAAGAGAGCACAATGTGAGTGTCTGTGAATGGCGTATGAACCCATAGGTACTGATATCCACCAATGTGTTGAAAAGGTGCTTCTGCTGACACCTTTCTAGGTAATTGTTGAAATGACACTTTAAAACCCTGAAATCCTCCTCCTTATAATTATGTGAATTTTGAGAATTTATATAAGTTGACAAGTTCAGGAATATGTCAGATGCTTACGTCAAATATTTTTGGAATAATAACATCTTCAATAATATTTTGGGTAGTTAACAGAGGGTCACCATTTTCCTTTTAGCTGCCTTTGACCAGCGCTGCTGGGAATTACGAGTTGCTGGTGGAAGGCCATGCTGACGGCCGGCGTGTCTTCTCCAACCGCACCAGCCTGATGTACACGTCCAAGAGCACCTCTGTCTTCATCCAGACAGACAAATCCATGTATAAACCGGGGCAAGACGTGATGTTCCGGATTGTCACCGTCTATCCCGATCTCAAACCCTACAAAGCATCTCTGAACATATATATCCGAGTAAGTATCCACAGGGACCTAGTTCTACATGGGAATTTGTCACACGTTCCAGCTTCATGTGACAACTAAAGGTCACCTGTATTGCTGCCTACACCTTGCTAGCAAGACCGCTGGCGTTAACGTTTGAGCCAGCAATGTGCCCTTGGGGCCAAGAAGGCCAATGGCATCCTGGGGGGCATCAGGAAGAGCGTGACCAGCAGAGTGACCCCTCTGCTCTGCTCTGCTGAAGCACCATCTGGAGCACTGAGAAGGCCAATGGCATCCTGGGGGGCATCAGAAAGAGCGTGACCAGCAGAACGTGATCCCTCTGCTCTGTTCTGGTGAAGCACCATGTGGAGCACTGGGTCCAGTTCTGGGCTCCCCAGTTCCACAAGGACAGGGAACTGCTGGAGTGGGGACAGCAAAGGGCTACAAAGATGATGAGGGGCCTAGAACACCTCTCTGTGAGGAAAGGCTGGGGGACTTGGCTCTGTTTAGTCTGGAGAAGAGAAGACTGAGGGAAGATCTGATCAACACCTATAAATACTGAAAGGGTGGGTGTGAGGAGGATGGGGCCAGTCTTTTTTCAGTGGTGCCCAGGGACAGAACTAGAGAGAATGGGCACAAACTTGAACATAAGTTCTACCTAAACATGAGGAGGAACTTGTTTGCTGTGGGGCTGGCAGAGCCCTGGCAGAGGCTGCCCAGAGAGGTGGTGGAGTCTCCTTCTCTGGAGACATTCAAACCCCGCCTGGACACGTTCCTGTGGGACCTGCTCTGGGTGACCCTGCTCTGGCAGGGGGTTGGACTGGATGATCTCCAGAGGTCCCTTCCAACCCCATGTGATTCTGTAATTCTCTAACGTGCAGCCTGGCTTTCCTCCTAGGACCCTCGGAAGAACCTGATCCAACAGTGGCTGATGGAGGAGGGTGATTTGGGCGTAGTTTCCAAAAAATTTCAGTTATCCACGAACCCCCCGCTGGGAGACTGGTCCATAGAGGTGGAAGTGAATGTGAGTATTAACGTTGCTGGATCACAGAGAGGTTTCATTTCTCCCAATAGATGAGAATAAAATTGTTTGGTGAAGCAAAACCAAAAATAAGCATAAGAAATAAGATAAGAAAGTCTGTCCCTCATGGCAAACACAAGATATTATGCAAACTTCACAAGATTTTCAGCAGTATATGGTTTTGTAAAGAGAGATACTAAAAAAACCATACATATTTCAGCCTAAGGTCAGTGTTTTGATTCTAAAATACAAGTGTTTTTTTAAAAGTGAGGGTATTTAATATTGATATAAAAGAAAGATCTTAGGCAGTACTATTTTTTTTTTTTAAGTGAAACACACCTATGTTTATTTTGTAAGCGAATATAGAGGAATCCATTGTGCCCTGCTGTGCAGGCAGTCACCATCTCAAGGGGTTTGGAATGAAAGACTATTTACAAATCTCTGCCTAGTTAGGGCAACAAAGATGATTAAGGGATTGGAGCACCTCCCTTACGAGGACAGGCTCAAGGAGCTGGGACTCTTTAGCCTGGACAAGTGAAGGCTGAGGGGAGACTTTATTTATGTTTATAAGTATCTAAAGGGTGGGTTGAAGGATGTTGGAGCCGGACTCTTTTCAGTGGTTTCCAGCGATAGGACAAGGGGCAACTGGCACAAGCTGGAACATGGGAAGTTCCATTCAAGTATGAGAAAAAACTTCTTTGGGGTGAGGGTGGCAGAGCCCTGGCAGAGGCTGCCCAGGGAGGGTGTGGAGTCCCCTTCTCTGGAGATCTTCAAGACCCCCCTGGATGCTCCTGAGTGATGTGCTCTGGGCAACCCTGCTTTAGCAGCGGAGTTGGACCAGATGATCTCTAGAGGTCCCTTCCAACTCCAACAATTCCATGATTCCGTGATTTTAGGGGGTGTTTGAACAATTCACGGCGACTGGGGAGTGGCTGAGGGAAAAACAACCCTGCAAAGCGGAGAGGATGAGTAGCAAAGCAGAACTATTGCCTCCCAGAGCTGCTGGGAGCGGGTCTGCAGGTGGCTGTTGGCAGTGGGTCTGTCCCTTCAGCTCCTCACTCCTCGTCCACTCTGGAGCCCACGGGGAGAAGGACGGGAGGTTGGGCACCGTGTCTGCCAGCGATAGGACAAGGGGCAACTGGCACAAGCTGGAACATGGGAAGTTCCATTCAAGTATGAGAAAAAACTTCTTTGGGGTGAGGGTGGCAGAGCCCTGGCAGAGGCTGCCCAGGGAGGGTGTGGAGTCCCCTTCTCTGGAGATCTTCAAGACCCCCCTGGATGCTCCTGAGTGATGTGCTCTGGGCAACCCTGCTTTAGCAGCGGAGTTGGACCAGATGATCTCTAGAGGTCCCTTCCAACTCCAACAATTCCATGATTCCGTGATTTTAGGGGGTGTTTGAACAATTCACGGCGACTGGGGAGTGGCTGAGGGAAAAACAACCCTGCAAAGCGGAGAGGATGAGTAGCAAAGCAGAACTATTGCCTCCCAGAGCTGCTGGGAGCGGGTCTGCAGGTGGCTGTTGGCAGTGGGTCTGTCCCTTCAGCTCCTCACTCCTCGTCCACTCTGGAGCCCACGGGGAGAAGGACGGGAGGTTGGGCACCGTGTCTGGGGTTTGTGCAGCCCCCCATAAAAGCCTGCAGCCTGGGAGCTGCTCTTCCCCCTGGGCTGGTGGTGGCTGTTCAGAGGCATGCAGCAAGGACAGACAGGACCGTGGGGCGTTCCGTAATGAGGGGGGTGATGGGGAGAAAGCAGAGAAGCTCAGGTGATCATGTACGACTTGGGAGTCATGCTTACTGGTACCAGTGACCTGCGGGATAGATTTCTGTAGGTGATGTATGGCTCAAGGGGGTGTTAGGACAACATTTTTCAAACCTGTTCTCCTGGGGGTGTGGGCTCCTTACTGTTGTCTTTGGTGGGAAAAGCTCTTTAAGTCATCCCTGTGTGTGGCTGCTCCTTCCCGTGGCTGCTGCTCTGTCCTCTCTGGGTCGCAGGGAGGCAGCTGTGGTGAGGCTGGGACCTCCACATCGATGAGTGTCTCTTGTCTTTCCCTTTGTCCAGCCCAGCCCAACTGGGGCTGGTCTGGTGGAGAGCACCGACGTGTGGCTCAGGTGTGGGAACAGAGGCTGGGGACAGGTGGCCTTTCTCAACAGCTCCCTTGCCAGAAGAAAAAGCGTTTGTGAGATTTTGCCAGGGCTTTTCTGCAAAGTCTTGAGTAAGCCCTGTGTCAGGAGGATGCTGCTGAAGGAACCACAGCAGCCGTTCTCGGGACCTGAATGCAGACACCACTCCCTCCTGAAACAAAACCACAAAGAAAAGGAAGAACACAACTGCAAAATTGAAAGAAAAAGGTCTTAGATTCATCTGGGCAAGCGAAACATCTACCAAAAGAACAGATAAGTGAAAGGTTAGTAGGCCATAGGAGATGGTATTCTGAATTTTAGCCGTCTAGTCCGTACTGCAGAAGGTTAATGAGCGTGGAAAATTCATGGCAGGGAGGGAATGTCTCTCACGTCATGAGTGAGAGGGAGAAGACAAATAGGGAACATCGCGTTCACTGTCTCTTCCAGCCCGTGGCTCGAGGGCAGCAGGTGGAGGAGGCAGGGAGCAACTTCAAAGTGATGAAAGCAGCGTCACTGGGCTGCAGAGCACAGCACTGGGGGTGCTGGGAGGGCTGAGAGGTCACTCTGAGGAAAGGTAAAGCTGGGCAGGACAGAAAAGAGCTTTTTTTCATTGGCAGGGGTAATCGCTAATATTTAAGCAACACTGCATTTAATAAGTGGAAGAAACTGGAACTAGGAGATAGGGATCAATATAAATGAAAGCCTGAACTCTTGTGTACCTGTGAGAAATCTAAAGATCCCAAGGAAAACTTGATAGTTAATAAAAGTGTGGAAGAGTTTTTTAAGTTTGGTAGGAACAAAGGAAAATCCAGCGGTGGCAGAGCCCAGTAACACGAGGAAACAGTGATGTCATCGGATTAATGAAACCTGCAAGAAACCTTGCAGAATAAAGGAAAAGAACTTCTCCGATGGGACACGCCTTCTGATTCTCTCGTCTACAAGGGAGCTTATGCCCTGGAATCCAAGGTTATATGGGATGGGATTCGGTTTGGGGTTTCAGGTGGGCGGCTGTCTGCGTGTAGGTGATGTGGTGAGATTTAGCTGGTGTGATGTGGTGAAATTTAGCTGGTGTTCAGTGGCAGCTGGTGGGTGACCTGGGTCACTCCGAGTGGAGATGCCCAGTTGCTGCCTGGCTATTCCTTGCTGTTCTGCTGTCCAAGGGAGGTATAGGGTTTTTTTCTGTGTCATATTTAAAGCTGTGTGGACTCACCAGTCCCTTTCTGATAACAGAGGTCGCTGAGAACTTGGGTTTGCTGCTAAGAAATACCTAGCATGTGCCTGGCGTTTGTAGTGGATATGCCTGTCCTCGGCTCTTATTGCTGGCCCTGGGTCCCCGTGGGATCCCATGCAGCTGATGGATCTCCTCGGGGCTTCAGAAACATCTTCAGGTGACAGAGCCAGGCTGATCTCCCCATCACTTTGATGTCTTGATGCCACGGCCCGAGCTCTCTAGGGAAACAGCTGTCCTGCCCTTCTGCCTCCTGTTTCCCTTTTGTCTTTAGAGAGTGTTGTTGGGTCAGTGAATAGCTTTGTTGTTGGGTCAGTGAATAGCTTTTCCCTTCCAGTGGTTACAGATCAGTTCCCAAGAGTCCTCGGCTCTTATTGCTGGCCCTGGGTCCCCGTGGGATCCCATGCAGCTGATGGATCTCCTCGGGGCTTCAGAAACATCTTCAGGTGACAGAGCCAGGCTGATCTCCCCATCACTTTGATGTCTTGATGCCACGGCCCGAGCTCTCTAGGGAAACAGCTGTCCTGCCCTTCTGCCTCCTGTTTCCCTTTTGTCTTTAGAGAGTGTTGTTGGGTCAGTGAATAGCTTTGTTGTTGGGTCAGTGAATAGCTTTTCCCTTCCAGTGGTTACAGATCAGTTCCCAAGAGCACGAGGCTGGATTCCTGGAAGCACTGCCCCCGAGTCCTGTTTTAAATCAGGTCCTGGCTGCTCGCTGCCATTACACGTCCTGTGGTGCTTTTAAAGAGGAGCTCAGGTGTTGGTGCAGCTGTTCCAAGGAAACCCAAGACAGAGTAATTGCAGCCTGGTTCCCAAGTCTCCACCTGGTATTTTAGTTGGATATCTTCTGTTTCCTGTTGTGGAGCCTTGTGCTGAAAGGCTTTTACTTGCTGAGTTTTCATAGAGGGCATCTCCAACCCAAGGTTGTTCCTCGTTACGAGCATCTTATCATCTAATTTATTGAAGTTGTTATTTGGAAATTTATCATCAAATATTGAAGAGTAGTAACATTTCAGGTGCAACAGGGGCTATCTAAAATATTTTTGAAGAATATTATATTCTGTTAAAAGCTGCCTCCATAAAGCAACATCCAACGTCAGCTGGGACAGATTACACAATGTAGGCTTTAATTTGAATTTTTTAGCTTTTCAGGGTTTTTTACAGTGTATCCACAGTGAATTTTGTGATGTTTTACTGCTAGGTCAGCTGCAGGTTCCACATTTCATGCCTTGAGTCTGAGGTTATATCATTACTTTAAAGAAGTGTCAACCTCCTTCGAAATCGGACGGTACATAACCCCCCTGGAAGTGGCTGTGTATTCCATGGTTTGCTAATGAGCCCTGATATTTAATCAGCATCTGGCAGTGTGAACACTCGTGACAGTGGCAGGACTCTGCTTGGTTTCTGGAGCCCACGCTGGTGGATTTGAACAGAAGTTTGGGAATTCATGCAGGATTTTATTTTGGGGTTTATTCCCTGCGTGTGAAAATAAAGCAGGAAAGCGATGATGAAATGCTTCTGTTGGTTCTGTCTGGATAAAAACCTCTTTTCTTTAGCTGCAAAGCAGAGATGGGGGCGTGTTGGTGCCGCTGCCGGGGCAAACCCTGAGACCTCCCCGGGGCCTTTCCTCACACGTGGAACTGGCAGAAACAACAAGAAAATGGACCTAGAGCAGATCCGGTTCAGGGACTTCCGATTGCCAAAGAAGAAACAAATATTTCTGGGGGAAGAATTCCTGAAATCTCACTTGTTGGCTTAGACCCAAATGACTGCAAAGGGGACCGGTTCACGAGAGCAGAAAAGCAGGAAAGCGATGATGAAATGCTTCTGTTGGTTCTGTCTGGATAAAAACCTCTTTTCTTTAGCTGCAAAGCAGAGATGGGGGCGTGTTGGTGCCGCTGCCGGGGCAAACCCTGAGACCTCCCCGGGGCCTTTCCTCACACGTGGAACTGGCAGAAACAACAAGAAAATGGACCTAGAGCAGATCCGGTTCAGGGACTTCCGATTGCCAAAGAAGAAACAAATATTTCTGGGGGAAGAATTCCTGAAATCTCACTTGTTGGATTAGACTCAAATGGCTGCAAAGGGGACCAGTTCACAAGAGCAGGGCAGTGTCTGGGCTGCAGCTCTCAGTGATGCTTAGATGTTCAGGTCCGGCATCTTAAGGCTCAACTGCAGAATGGCTCCATCATCCTCATCATCACAGCGTACTTATGTGGGTCTCTTTCTGGCACTGGTTTCTTAAAACTCTGGGAAATGTGCACAGAACGTAATAGATGTTTTACAGTTTAAGAAATACTGATTGAGAGCAAAATGCTAATAGTCTGGAGGGGGGATTGTGTCTAAGAAGCAGGAAAAGGCATGGAAACCAAAAACCATGCAAGAATAATTAATCAGGGCTGGAAACAAGTGGAACAGACATAGTGTTGCAAACGCAACACTCTCTTGGTTTGCAAACGCAAATCTCTGTTGGGCTATATATATACCTAACTGCTCGTCTCAAAAGCCACCACTCCTGGAAACTGGTTTAACAACTTCCACTCCAAAATATTTGGACAATGTTTGCCGAGAGACGGCTGTGCCCAGAGGAACTGAAATGATGTGGAGCAGTGGAAGTGCTGTTACTTGTCCCATTCCAAACCGGTTTTCCTGAAAAAGCCTGTGCCGTTGGGAAACCTGCCTCCGTGCTCAGATCACCCAGACGAGCTACAGGAGCTTTTCCTGCCCCTGCCCTGGGGGCACGGCTCACTTTCTGTCATAAAGGGGGTCCTTTTAGAGAAGATATGGCCAAGACCATGACTCTCACTTTAATCTCTGTTTGTTATTGCTCACAGCTCTCTTGGCTTTTATTTTTTTATTTTTTTTTAACTTCTAAGGTAACATGAAACAAAATCTCATTTTCTAGGGAGATTTCATCCTGACAGCTGGGGTGACAGTCTTGTAATGGTTTACTTAATGGCAAGGGTGATATGTATATGCTTAACATTTGAAATAAAGGATTTAGAAGAAGATAAACTCACTGCAGGTCATTTCCTGAGGTACCTGCTGCTACGAGTCCCTGATAGCACTGGGACTGGGGACTGCACACCAGCACTGGGTGTTGGGAGGATTATAATCCGCACAAATGTTTGAAAATAGCAGATTCTGCCTGTGTCTTTCCAAACCCAGGAGTGTAAATAGGGCAATTATTTTGGTCATCAGTGACTGAATAATGAAATTAGTCGCAGTCTGGTTTTTACTTCGATAGAAGTCTTTTTAACTAACAAATGAAGAAGACAAGAAGTTACAGCCCAGGAATGTCTCTCCTGAGGTAAGTATGCACTCTAGACTGTAACAAAATTTTAGCTGCCTTTTGAGTGAATCACAGAATCACAGAATATTCAGGGTTGGAAGGGACCTTTCAGAATGGTCTTGTTCTTTAGATGGATGCTGAGAATCACAGAATATTCAGGGTTGGAAGGGATCTTTGAGAATGGTCTTGTTCTTTAGATGGATGCTATGGGAGCTTCCCTTGTGTTTAGAGATACATCAGTTAATTTTGTGTGAGCTATGGAAGGTACTGCTGGCAGGTCAGCCGTGGCTCATCATGATTATTGTGGGTACCTATGCCAGGTAGTTTTATGCTAGATAGCTCTGATATTTGGTTATTTTATACAGCAACCAGCCATATGTAGATGTCTGCAGATCAGAAGCTCTGCAAGCTCTTCATTATACTTATTTACAGTCTGCTTCAAGTGAGCTTCTGGGTTCTTCTGTGCTGCAGAATCAACTACTGGTCCCTACAAGAGCTCCATAACAGGAGCTGATGATGGTTGAGCCATGATTTAAAATTACATCATGTCAGAAATTGTAATTTAACTTGAATGTGTGTGGGATTTGGCCGTTGGGATTGGAAGGTGTGTTAAACTTGCTCATCTAACCACATTCGTATGTATTTTCTCATATGATTTTTTTTTAATAGGGTCAAGTTCATTATCAAAGATTTAAAGTGATGGAATATGGTAAGTGTCACTTAAGGGCATTTAGTAGTCACCAGGATTGGTAGTTGATTCTCCATAAATTTAGACAAGCTTCCCTTGACTAGCACAAACCTTCTGAACACTCCCAGAAACTCTAATTTCCATAGCTCTTGCTTCTCTGTGTCCTGGAAAAACAATTGTCTTATCAGCTGCCCTGTTTATCTCTGGTAGCTTTAGTGACCTGCTGCTGTAGTGTCTGGATGCCATGTGATCTTTAAAATACTTACCTTAAGCCTGTGAGATGCAGAGGTTGTCCCTGCTTTTACCGGATCATGCAGGCAGTGTCTTCATCCCAAAATATCTGTTTGGGATGTACCATAATGTAATGTTTGATCATGGAGCTTGGTGATGGTTCTGTAAAGGCTGACGAGACTAAATGGTTTGCATTAGAGCCCTCGGTGCTGTGTGCCAGCTGCTTTTACGGTGGTGTCCTTTCAACAAAAGCTCTTAGTCTGAGGCATCCACAGGGATAGGTTAAAAGTATATCCTACTTATTTTCCTTAGGCAGCTGTAGCAGTCTGTATCAGATTATATGTTCTACCCTTATTAATTAAAAGAAAAAAATATTATTTCTTGTGTGGATTGAATGCTTTCTGTAATTATTATTTTTTTATTTTTAGTTTTACCGAAATTTGATGTTATGATCACCACCCCGTTATACTACTCTTTGAGAGATGAAGATGTAACTGGTATTGTCACTGCAAAGTAAGTGAATCATCGATACTGCTGTCACCCTTGCTCCTGAGAAAATTGCTGTGGGTCCCTCAGTGTCAAAGTGAGAACTCAGTTGAGAATGTTACAAAAGCGCTTTCTAGTCAAAATGAGTTGGCTCCCATCCATTTCTGGTTACAGGATTTTGTTGTAACGGTGTTAGATTGATCTTCAGACTTCTAGTTAAGTTTCTGGGCTGGTAAAGGTATTTCTAGTCTATAGCCAAGGCATTTTCAGCTGCCTTATTCAGAAAACTTTTTGAGTCTTCTGCTTATAATGTATATTTTGAGGCATTTTTTTTGTTCTTATGGCTCTTTTGTGGTGCTCTCCAACTTAACATGTAAGGTCTGTAGGTAGAGTAACTATATTTTATTATAGTTGGTTTAATGGAGTTATATTTCCACTTGGAAAATTACGCAAAATTCTATCCACATCCTTCTTGTTCCAATTTATCCACATTGTGCATGTGAAATATAGGCTGCTTCTGCCTGTCAAAATATCTACACCTTTAAATGGGTGAAGAATTAAAAACCCTTAAGAAATCCAAAAGAGATTTCACTGTAAACTATTGTATAAATAATTTTTTATTTTTTGGCTGAATATATCTAGAAAAATATCTAGACAAAAAAATTCAGTATGCATTAATCTCAAGTAGAAATTAATTTGGTTTTGGGAAGATGAGAGACAGAGCTACCTGATAGATCCATTCAAGACAACCTGAAATAAAAGGTCTTTCATGGGTTATTTAATTCCATAAAATACACACCTTCTAAACAAGGGCTCCATTTATAAGGGATATGCAGAAATGATTGATTAACAAGCTATTTAAATTAGACCTCATATATAATATGAGGTGTAATGCTGATACTATAAACCATCTAAGTTTTTCCTAAGGGGCTATTTTTTTTTTTTTAAATAGGTTTCCTCGATTTTTTTTCCCCATCCTGCTTTCCTTTTGGAGTCCGTTATATGCCAATATGTTTTTTTTTAAGTTATATTGGTCTTCCCCAGGGTACTTGGCTCCATCATTGGAGTCAATGCTCATAGGTATTTGACAGCATATGTGGCTGCTGCAATAAATCCAGCTTGGACCCAGTGACTGGTCTGAGAGTCAACCCCAGCAGCACCCAAATTGTACTGATATGTCATCATTAGTTATTGGGAATGACTTAATTCCTGGTGACTGCATTTATAGGCATAATGCCTCTCTATACACAGGGTTTATGTGTCCCTTTGGCTTGCAAATGTCATAAACCCCTTTTGCTTTCTCATCTCTGGAGTGTTATTAGATAAGTTAAGTGCAGGGGTGGCACCCAATGGCGGTATCATCTCAAGGTTAATGGCAGCTTATTACTGTAATTAGGTCTGGTGGAAAGACTGAGTGCAGGTGCAGGACAGTGTTGTCAGAATTCTTCCTCTAACTACGTTATTTGATTATTTTTCCCTCTGCTTTTCGCCTTTGTTATTTCTTAAGTGGCTGCCAGTCAAATCCATAATGATTTAAAGTACTCAAAGTTGTCTCATCTGAATGTGTTACTGCTGATGGACTAGGGTGATTTTGGCTTTTTTCCCTCCCCTTTCTCTGTCTGAATCTGATAACGTCATGGTGTCTCTCATGTATAACTTGGACACACGTACACAAAATCTTTATTTTATTACTGCTCACTGGCAGCAGTTCTGAGAAGTGAATATGGTGCAGTTTTGGGGTTTGCCACAACTGCAAATTATGTTTGCCATGTAGTCATGCTGTGATTGCTGTGGGCAGTGATTACTAAATAATTTGACTACAGATGTCTTGAGATCCCTCATTTTTGTGTCAGCAGCATTTGGGAAGCAAAACAGTTGCCCTTCCCATGTTCCATTTTAACTCTACTGCACAGCAGTTATAATGCTCCATGACTGTTCTCTTCCATACCTTGCTTCCAGCTTGGCTTAATACAGTTAATTGTCCTACTTTGTGCAGCCCATAATAGTAGTAGTAGGTTTATAGAGCTTGTGTGGAGGAATGAGCAGCACCGTATGTCTTCTCTAGTTAGTGTCAATAAACTGCTCTCAGTATGAGAAGTCCTCGTGTCGTGGTTTGGCCCCAGGTGGCAGAAGAACCACGCAGCCCCTCGCTCGGTCTCCTTGGCTGGGATGGGCACAGACCCAGAAGAGTAAAAGTGAGAAAACTCCTGGGTTGAGATAAATGCAGTTGAATAAGTAAAGCAAAAGCCGCGCACGCAGGCAAATCAAAGCAAGGAATTAGTTCAGCCTCCCCAGGAGAGCAGCCCTCCATCATGTGTCATGGTGACTTGGGAAGACAAATGCCATCACTCCAAACATCTCCCCTTCCTCCTTCTCCCCCCACCTTTATATACTGAGCCTAATGTAATACGGTATGGAACACTCCTTTGGGCAGTTGGGGTCAGCTGTCTCAGTTGTGTCCCCTCCCAGCTCCTTGTGCCCCCCAGCCCATTACTGGTGGGATGGGGTGAGGAGCAGAAAAGCCCGCGACTGCCCAGCACCAACCAAACCATCCCAGATAAACCATGGCACCATGTTTCAGAGTACAGATATGCTCTAGCCATGTCTGAGGCCAAGGAAAATATCTTACTAGCATCTGTTGCCTTGAGAGCTCTTCAGGAGCCCAGGCCCTGGAGGAGGTGTGATGTTGGACTTTGATGTGTTTCAGGTACACGTATGGAAAGCCAGTGAAGGGAACTGTAACGGTCACTTGCCTTTCTGTCTCCTACTGGACAAACAAGAGAAACATAACAACGACAATGGAGGTGAGACTTCTCTTAGCCCTCTGTAGCACTGTACACTTTAAGCCCGTGTCTCCTTTGGTAGGTTCAATGTGCCTGGGACCATGCTCAAGTGTGGAGTTCAGCTGGTGTGATCTGTGGAGTGTCTTGCGTGGATAGTGCTAAACCCTGTTTTATTTCTAGAACAATGTGGCTACATTCAGACTGCTTATTGGGAATGAACTCAGGGGTGGGTAGGGAATAACACCCTCCTCAGGCAGGGACCTCTTCCTTGTATTTGTCAGGGACCTCTTCCTTGTATTTGTCTGGAACGCCTGGGCACTGTGGCTCTGGCCTGGTGGATAATTCTAGATATTAGGGAAAAAAGAAAACTTTCCCCATAAGGCACTGTTGGATTTAAAAAGTAATGAACTTCTACTGGATTTAATAAAAATGCTTACTGAAAGCAAAACAATAAAGGTCAGTGCTGATAATTTTCTCCTGTTGAAACTCCAGAACTTGTGTGTGGGGAGAGCTACTGGACTTCACCAGAAATCAGCTGTTGGGGATGAGGAGGTGTCCTTGGCTTTGCTGCTTCCACGTTTATTTTTTTCTCCATTGCAGATAAACGGGTCGGTGAATGTGACCTGTAACAAGCTGATGTTGCAAAACCTGAATGCTGATCAGTCGTGGCACCACGGTGATGGTGATTACACGGAGCCGATTGAGATCATCGCGGTGGTCACCGAGTCCCTGACGGGTACGTGGCTGCACGGGGTCTGGAGCAGGAGGTGCTGGAAGGGCTCAAGGAGCACTAGGAGAGCATCCTGTGCTGATGGCAGCACCAGCCATCTACATGCAAATATATCCTCTGAAAAAATGTATCCTCTGAATTGCTGCTTGCCTAGATATTGAATAGTTTAACTAGCTGTTCACTCAGTTGAGTAGAGTTCTACACTAAGAGATTTGCTCAATAACCAAGAGAAAGGTTCAGGCAGGGGCTCAAAGCCAGTGACTGAGCACTGTTGATGGGGAGAACAGGCATAAAGAATTTCTGGCACTGGCCTGAGTCTTACAAACTTAAATTTAATCATAAACTTACCTTACTTGTGCATAAGCCCCATCAGTAGAAGGAGTCCCCTGGACCCATGTTGTACTGTCTTTACCTTCTTCTAGACCATGTGGTTTGCAAACTGAACCTTTTTGTGGGTTCACGTTCCACTGCACCTTGTTTATTAGAAAAAAAATCGTTTGCACAAAATTTCTGCTTGTCCCAGGAGCTGGGTTTCATCACAGAGTCTCTGTGGGGACCCTGGCAAGGTGAAGGTGGCTCATTTGGGATTCTTAAGTTCCTTTCTTGTGCTGTTCTGACATAGTCTGTGTGCAGTGGACTTCTTTGGCATTGGGGTAGACAGTAGCAGTGCGTAGACCACCTTGTTCTGACATAGTCTGTGTGCAGTGGACTTTTTGGCGTTGGGGAAGACAGTAGCAGTGCGTAGACCACCACAGTACTGATCCTTAGCTGGGAGGATGAAGAGAGAAAGGAGTGGAAATGGAGAAAAATGTGATAGACTTATTTAAAAATCATGGTCAGTAAATAGTATTGCTGCTAAAGGAGTGTGGATGTTAAAAGCATGTTGTCTAAACACATACAATTATTCAACAGGAATCTCCCAAAATTCAAGTACCATCATATTTCCAAAGCAAAGCGACTATTTTATTGAATTTCTGGACTACTCTAGAGTTATAAAACCTTCTCTGAACTTCATAGCTACTGTAAGTTCTTCTGTTTTATTATAATCTGGGCGTAAACAAATGTGACTTCTTCTCCTGCTTAGATGCCAAAGTTTGCCTCAAATTTTTAAGTATAATTTACAGATTTGTTTTCAAATTACCTCTTTATGATGCATATTGGCAAATGCTACCCTGAGAAGTGTTTGCTGTAGAAAAGGCTAAAGCTGCGGTGCTGGCAGGGTGGATTTGGGGACAGGCTGTCAGCATTTGCCTGGAAGAGAAACCTTTTCAGTTTCTAACTCATTATTTCCTATGAAGTGACTGTGCTTTAAAGAACTAGAGGAGTTACTGAGTGCCAGCCCTGCTGCTAAGATTTGTATATGGAAGGATGTATATATAAACACACACTTGAATACATACTTTATATAATGAATATATACATATACAACTAAGCAGCTGTTACCAAATTCAATAAACTCATCCAACCACACTGCTCTCAAGTGGAAGCACCTCTTTTGCCTCCTGTCCTGTCTCTCTCCTGCCCGCTGAGGTCCCCTCACAGGGATATTCTGTGTTCTTCGTGCTGTCCACAGTCTGCCTTCAGCATTTCTGCATCTGGCAGAGGCTGCGTATTCATCACTGCATTTTGCTTGGAAAGCATAATTGGCATTACAATTCTTTGAAGAAATCAGACCTAAATACCAATAAAACAGGCTGCATGTGCCCTTCCAGAGCAGATTGGCCCGAGCCATAGCTGTGTTCTAGCCTCATCGCTTGGGTCTTTGGGTTTTCTCCTTTGTATTTTCCTTGCCAGCGTCCCGGTCTGATTCCAGCTCTGACCTGCTGCTCCTGCCTCTCCCAGAGCTGAGGTGGGTGAGAGGCAGCTGAAGTTTGGAGGAGGTATCAGTTCTGCACCAGAGCAGGGGGTGGGAAGAGCCCCTGTCTGCCTTTGCAGTGCAGAGAGGGGCAGGAAAAGAATGGCAGAGGAGGAGAGGTGATGGAGTGACACACCTCTGGACTTAAAAAGAGAAGGGAGGCATTAGTTCAGTGCTTTTATACGTAGGAGTTGAATTTTTGGGGAAGGAGAATTGTTTTACTATGGATGAGAAGCTCCTTGAACGTGGGAGTAAAGGCTGGTGTAAGTTGTAGCGCTGATTGACGGATGCTGGGGAGAAGAAGTTACAGACTGTCTGTCCTGGGCCCGTTTTAAGTCTTTTCTTCAGCTCGTTTGATGAGTCCGGTGCCATCTCTGCTCATCTGGCACATTTTCCTGCACATGGTGGAATGTTGGGTTGTCCTTTGTGGTGGTGGTGAGATACGAGTGATAAAATTAAATATCCAGGCCTTAGGTAGGATATGCATAGTTTGCCTGGAAGACAAGCATTTTCCACAAGAAGAGTGATCAGGAGAGCTGGAAGACAGGTCACCTTGTGGCTTCCACCTGCTTCGCTTTTGCTCCCTTTTCACTCCCTGGCGTTATGAATAATTCTGTTCCTGGCTGACTTGCCTGCCTGCAGTGCTCTCAAGGGGTTAAATGTAAAGTTATTGATATTTGATAAAGCTATCCTCAGAAATCCGATGATTCCCTTATTTTTTTGCTATGATGTGAGTGCAAATATATTGTTACCTGTTACGTGATGTGAATTTTTAGTTTTGGGCTGTTGATAGGTGTTTTCTTCCTTTTTGCATTCAGCTGAAGGTGACACGCTCCGACAGCAACCAGCTGACAGTGGAGGAGAGGCAGAACCTCGTCACAATCACTGCACAGCAGTCAGACCTGCTTTTTCACCACTCCTCGCTTTCTCACCTGGAGAATGAGGCAACAGAGGAGAGAAATCTGACCGTCCACGTGCTCAATTACACGGTCCCGGAAAATGGAATTATTGATATTGAGTTTCCAATCCTGTCTAATACAAAAACTCTGAGAGTTCAGGTATTGCTCTGTAATATGTTACTGTGAAACAGCAGCACAGCAGGCTGAGCAGGCTCTGATTGATGCTGCTCCTGCCGTCTGCGAGCTGATGGGTCACCTACTGTTCTTTTCCTGACTTTGTATTCATGTTAGAGCTGGAAAGAAAGTGATGGATCCTGTCTATGGGATCTAAATAATCGCACCACAGGAGCGAGGGGAAAAAGCAAACAGACACCCAAAGCAAGCAGTAAAGTGGCCCTTAAGGCTACCCGTGCTCTTGTAAAGATTAACATACCGGTGAACATCACACAGATCTTGCTGTTGTGCTAAGAGCTGTGTTTGATGTTGTCCCACAGGCGGAGTTCCTCAGCAGCAGGACCGACATTGGTGTTTATGACGTGTTCAGCTCCCCCAGCCAGACCTATCTCCAGCTTAAAACGAAGAGCCAGGATATAAAGGTACAGCCTGAGACAAAGCTTGCCAAGATAAGAACAGTTCAAATTACTTGTCACCTTTCCATGCCCATCCGTATCAACCATACTCTCTTTCTAGGCTGGGAAGCCCTTTGAGCTGAGCATTGCAAGCAACAAGCCAGTGAGAGAGTTCCACTACCTGGTAAGTTACTGGTTTCTAATACGGGGATGGTCCAAGATGACTTTTACCAACCTGAGAAACACCCAGTGGGTGAATGTGATTGAACATTAGGGAGATTCAGCGTTTTTTTTATTTTGCTTTGTGAAAGAAGTGGCCCAAAAACTTTCCACTAGGATGGTCCTGTTTCAGAGAGAGCTCCTCTTGGCTGCCTGGCAGAAATGGCTCTGCAATGTAAGGAGGTGCTCCCTGGGAGAAGAGCATCTCTGGTTTGGGTGTTGGGTTGTCTCTGCTTGCAGATGTGGGAGATGAGGTGCAGCGTGAGAGCGACACTGTCTCTGATGGTGCAGAGCACCCGTGGCAGGAGAAGGGGCAGGGATGTCCCAGGAGCAGGGGCTGGGACCAGGCTGGGACTTGCCAGCAGGTCCAGCAGATGCAGGTGGGAGCAGGAGCCTGAGCTGCAGCCCAGAGCGAGGAGAAGAGGAGAAGACCTTGCTGAGAAAACAGATGGTGCAGCGGGCAGGACAGGGTTGTTAATGAGGGAACCTCCCTGGTGGCCTTTGGAATACATGGCTTGGCTGATGGCTTTTTGATGGCTGGGCTGCTGTGCTGTAGCTGACAATGGCTCTGCAATGTGAGGGGGTGCTCCCTGGGAGAAGAGCATCTCTGGTTTGGGTGTTGGGTTGTCTCTGCTTGCAGATGTGGGAGATGAGGTGCAGCTGTGAGAGCGACACTGTCTCTGATGGTGGAGATCACCCACTTGGCTGCCTGGCAGAAATGGCTCTGCAATGTAAGGAGGTGCTCCCTGGGAGAAGAGCATCTCTGGTTTGGGTGTTGGGTTGTCTCTGCTTGCAGATGTGGGAGATGAGGTGCAGCGTGAGAGCGACACTGTCTCTGATGGTGCAGAGCACCCGTGGCAGGAGAAGGGGCAGGGATGTCCCAGGAGCAGGGGCTGGGACCAGGCTGGGACTTGCCAGCAGGTCCAGCAGATGCAGGTGGGAGCAGGAGCCTGAGCGGGGTCAGGGCTGTCAGGGCTGAGCTGCAGCCCAGAGTGAGGAGAAGAGGAGAAGACCTCGCTGAGAAAAGAGATGGTGCAGTGGGCAGGACAGGGTTGTTAATGAGGGAACCTCCCTGGTGGCCTTTGGAATACATGGCTTGGCTGATGGCTTTTTGATGGTTGGGCTGCTGAGCTGTACCTGACAGCGTCTGGGCTGAGGGGGTTACTGTAGACACCATCACCTCTCCCACCATCCCCTGAACATGTGTTGGCTTGTGCACAGTGTACACCCTAATGGTGATGACAACTGCAGTTCTTTTCCTTCAAGAGTCTTTCATAGTAAAAAATATAAAATGTGGGCATTCCTGTGTGTTTTCTAAACCAGAAGCGCCCTCTAGAAGGTTTTTAGAAAATCGTGTAGACGCAGGGAGGCAGGGAACTGCCCTTCATGGCTCCGTCCTCATGAGAGAGTGGGATGGTCCAGTGGGAGCAGGTTCAGAGAGGAGAAGTTGGTGCTGTGGCCTGAACCCCGGGTGTTTGGAGGCAGCTTTGGCTCTGATCTGGTGTAGCAGAATGAGTGTCTCTTCCCAGCTGGAACACATTGGTGGCCCCAGCTCACACTCTCCATGGTGCACATTGTAAGCCTGGTGAGTAGGGGGGTTTGGGAGATTTGCTTTTACAATTGTGGTCCAAACTCAACTGCTATTACAGATGACCCACATGGCCCAGAGGTGTGACTGTTGCATTTTTATCTTCTTTTAGCAGTTGTTGTGCTGTGCTCTCCTCCTTGTAGTTCTTTACTTGTCCATAGCGATGCAGGAATTAAAGCAGGAAAAGAATATTGGTGGCCCCAGCTCACACTCTCCATGGTGTAAACCGTAAACCTGGTAAGTAGGGGTGTTTGGGAGATTTGCTTTTACAATTGTGTTCCGGTGTTGGGTTGTCTCTGCTTGCAGATGTGGGAGATGAGGTGCAGCTGTGAGAGCGACACTGTCTCTGATGGTGGAGATCACCCATGGCAGGAGAAGGGGCAGGGATGTCCCAGGAGCAGGGGCTGGGACCAGGCTGGGACTTGCCAGCAGGTCCCGCAGATGCAGGTGGGAGCAGGAGCCTGAGCGGGGTCAGGGCTGTCAGGGCTGAGCTGCAGCCCAGAGTGAGGAGAAGAGGAGAAGACCTCGCTGAGAAAAGAGATGGTGCAGTGGGCAGGACAGGGTTGTTAATGAGGGAACCTCCCTGGTGGCCTTTGGAATACATGGCTTGGCTGATGGCTTTTTGATGGTTGGGCTGCTGAGCTGTACCTGACAGCGTCTGGGCTGAGGGGGTTACTGTAGACACCATCACCTCTCCCACCATCCCCTGAACATGTGTTGGCTTGTGCACAGTGTACACCCTAATGGTGATGACAACTGCAGTTCTTTTCCTTCAAGAGTCTTTCAGAGTAAAAAATATAAAATGTGGGCGTTCCTGTGTGTTTTCTAAACCAGAAGCGCCCTCTAGAAGGTTTTTAGAAAATCGTGTAGACGCAGGGAGGCAGGGAACTGCCCTTCATGGCTCCGTCCTCATGAGAGAGTGGGATGGTCCAGTGGTGCTCTGGCCTGAACCCCGGGTGTTTGGAGGCAGCTTTGGCTCTGATCTGGTGTAGCAGAATGAGTGTCTCTTCCCAGCTGGAACACATTGGTGGCCCCAGCTCACACTCTCCATGGTGCACATTGTAAGCCTGGTGAGTAGGGGGGTTTGGGAGATTTGCTTTTACAATTGTGGTCCAAACTCAACTGCTATTACAGATGACCCACATGGCCCAGGCGTGTGATTGTTGCATTTTTATCTTCTTTTAGCAGTTGTTCTGCTGTGCTCTCCTCCTTATAGTTCTTTACTTGTCCATAGTGATACAGGAGTTAAAGCAGGAAAAAAATCTATTTCTAATATTTAAATATTACATTTCCCGCATGTTCCATACCAAGTCTCATAGAACTGGTCAACCAAAAAAAAATCAGAGCTGTATGTCTCTTATTTTAATGGCTAGTTGTAGAAGGAATTGCAGAGCTTGTGGCATATTGAGATACCAACAGGAGTGAATGTTTAATTTTTCCCTTTCAGGTGTTATCTAAGGAACAAATTATGGACTTTGGCACAAAGGCTGCAAAAACATTCACTTTGACAGCAGAAAACTCCTGGGCTCCTCTGGCATGCATACTGGTGTTCTACGTTGATGAGCTTGGCGTGGTTGTGAACGATGCTCTCACCGTCCCTGTCCAGCCTGTTTTGGATGACAAGGTGACGATATTGAACTCGAGTCTGAGACCAGGGTTTTGCCTGTGTGTTGTGTGGCAAACAGTGTTTTAGATCATGGGGTTGGAAATGTAAAACCTCCCTCGTTGAGGATCTAATCTGAGGTTTGTGTAAGTCCTCGGAAAGACTTTTGCTAATACCAGCACAGTTGGGGTCCAGCAATAAATGTAGGGCTACTTTATATCTGAAAGATGTTTCTGCTAGCCCTGTGTCTTTCCCATAAGCAGACACACAGCATCTCCTCAGGGTTTAATAGTTTGGTCAATGACTGAGGCAAAGATTGTTTTGGCCAACGTAGTGGAAAGACACTCAGAAGTGCTCTAGGCGTGGAACTGCAAACCTTTTCCAAGACCTTCCTTTGGCCAGGCAGTGGTCACATCGCGTGGAGTGTGAGCCCAAGGAGGACCCCTTCTCTGTGTCAGTCTCACTGATGGAGCATTTAGGTGTAACCTCTGGGGGCTGAAGCTGTCCAGAATAATCTTTCCCTAAGTAAGTTGTATGATGCATTGTGCACTGATAGACAGCGGACGTGTTTCTTTCCCTGCCCTCAGCTGCAGAAACCGGTGTATCCCCGTGGCTCAAGAGGCTGCCACTTGCACAGTAAGGTCTGAGGGGAATGGCCCCAGGTCCCGATGCTGACTCCTCACCAGCCCAAGGAGCTGAGCAGCTGGGGGGGTGAGAGCCAAAGGAATGCCCTGGTACTTCCCCAATGGTTCCAGGAAAAGCAAACCCAGGATCTTAATTATAGCCAATTAAGCTAAGAAAATGCTTCCTCAGAGCTGTTAGTGGCTGTAAATATCACTGTGTAATTTAAACGAGTGCTGTTTTTTACTTTTTTCTAGATTAAAATATCTTGGAGCAAAGATAAGGTGAAGCCATCTGAGGGGGTCTCCCTAAAAATCAGTACGACAGAGCCAGGGTCAGTCATTGGACTCGCGGTTGTTGATAAAAGTACAAAGCTCCTAGGAGAAAGTACTGACATAACAGAAGATTCTGTAAGTACTTGGGGAAAAAGGGGTTTCATTATTATGCGAGTGAAAGATGGAAATGTTACTGTTTATATGCTGAATGAGTAATGGGTTTTGGGGCAGGATTTTTAGTCCTTAATTATGCAAGTAGTTTTTACTTCTGCAAGTAGTTTGGCAACATGAGTGCAAGGAACTGTAAACTTACAAGGTAAGCTTTATACCTGGTAAATTGCTCAGTTAACACTTAGCAGTTTCTCTTTTTCGGGAAAGATAAAGTCAGAAAAACTCCCTAATGATTTGTGCTTTGTGCTCTTTAAAGTTAGTGATATAAAACGAAGAAGGAATTTTATTTTTTGAAGAGCAGAATAAATTATTAATATTTTCGAATTCCCTTTGCTTGCAGAAGCTCTAGTGCACCAACAATTGGAAAGAGCTGACAATAGAGTATTAGTGGGCTGTAGGTTCCTTTTTTAGGCTTATATAGTCTTTGTCACTCTTCCATTAATCCTGAGGGCATTGCAGCCTGGTCCCTTCACCCTGTCAAGGATTCTTTTCCCTTGGATGAGAGAGCTAAGCGAGCTGCTGCCTGAGGTGCAGCCCTAGGAATCAGTGTCTGCAGCAGTGAGAGTCATGAAAAATGAGAGTTTGCTTTCACTCTTTGGATGATTTTCTTTTTCTTGTCTTAGGTCTTCCACGAGCTCAATTTATACAGCACGGTGCAGTATTTCCCTCTGGTCAGAGGGTCTTTTGGGGTCTTTCAGGTATATATATATTATTTTTTTTAATTCTAAGCTGTTGGTTTTTTACTGCTTAGTCACTTGCTAGAAGAAAATGCCCTTTTAAAAGTTTGTGACCGTGGACAATGTACTGTTTTCACGGCTTATGTAAGTTCTGAATTGTGAATTCTATCAATGCATAAATACTCTGCAAAGAAATATGTTTATACTTCCATAATTACAGATTGCTTTATGCTTGATACTGTCTTCCCTTTGAAAAGTTTTCAGCCATTAAGGCAATATTCAGATTCAGATGATCTCAGTTTTGTTGGTTCCTGTGTATTACTTGTTTTAGTTCTATAATTGCTTTATTATGATGACTTTATTTTCTTAAAAACAAAGAAAAGAAAAGAAAATAGATAGTATTGTTGATGTCCTGAATGTCCTGTATTGAGATATGCTGTATAAATTTTATCCAGAAATGCAGCCTTTGGGTATCCACTGATGCAGTTCTTGAGGAGGATAAGGAACATTTTCTTTGTAAGTAATAAAAATAAACGTAGCCAAATACCATTTACTGAGTGGGGAAGGAGGTCCATGGGTTAGGGCCCCCTGTTCTCACTGTGCTGCATCCAGCCTTGCAAACCATCACCGTTTCCAAGCTTCAGGACAGGCAAAATGCATATGAATAGTATTTTAATGAATTTTAATATGACTAGTATTTTAAAAACTTCTTTTTTCCTGCCATCCTGAGTGACACTTCCTGGGCCTGGATGTGCAGTGTCAGTTGATAGATGTGGCAGTGATTTGTCATGTGTAGCCACATTATACCAGATCCATAAACACTCCAGAGGGGCCATGGAGAAATTTAAGTTTGTGTGATATTATTTTTATTCTTAAGAAAAATAAGCAAGTAAAAAACCAAGAGTTCTTAGTGTCCCAGAGTAGTGTTCCAATGTGTAACAAAGCTATGGATTATACTCCAAACACTGTATTAATTGGATTTTTCTTAATTGTATTTTTCTTAAACCAAGATATTTGTATGTAGGACAATATCTTTTTTATTTCGTAGATGGTGGAATGATACCCATCGAGGACGGTTTCGGTGATGATATGCCGGTATCTAAGGACGGGCCTCCTGATTTCAGCAACCTCTACGTGAGGACACATTTTCCAGAGACTTGGCTTTGGATCGACACTAAAACTAGGTATGAGATCAGAAGCAGATGGAAAGTAATCTAATACTTGCCGTCGGTATTTTGTAGCATTGTTTTAGTAGCATTCTGAACCCGTGCTGAACACCGCTTAAAAATGGAGTATTATTTATATTCTGCTACCACCTAGAGGCCAGGACTGAGATTGGAGGCCACCAAAGGAGGGTTGTGCAATGGCCCAAACAGGCCAACAGCTGACTGAAGGCCTTGTAATCTCAACAGGAACCAGCTAAAAATCCTGGAGAGAAAGGAAACTCTTCCTTTTACAGATGGGGAGATAACAGAAAGGGAGACCCAGTCTCTTTCTCTATGGTACATGAGAGGATGGTGGTTGGAGAGGATGGTGCCCAGAAAGGGAAATCTGTTCCTGACTGCTCCTAATTGAAGGAGCAGCTCAAAGTGCCAAATGACTGAGATCTGACCAGTGACACAGAGCACAAACCTCGTGTTCTTTCACAGCTGAGAGGGTCAGGAAGCAACCGGCATCTGGGATTGTTTTAAAGGATCTGTAAAAGTTGATGACATGTAGTGGGATTCGGTGTAGTTACCTTCAATTCATGTAATTTAAAATAATTTAAGTTTTTTTTAACCATCTTGAACCCATCACAAATATTTCTAAATGATTAGGAAAAGAAAAAGAGAGAATCAGCAGCTTTTCCTGCCAAGAGTTTGGGCTTAATTTTGGACGCCTTTTAAACATTCATGTCCACTTTTAATGATGTCTGCAAATGGATGCTTTTGAAAGTCTTCTCTGCCCTTCAGGTCCAACATGGAGACCACGATGGAGGTCCTTGTACCCGATACCATCACCTCCTGGGTCGCCAGTGCTTTTGTGATGTCTCCGAACAGCGGGCTTGGAGTGACGACCACTCCAGTGGAGGTACCACGGCACTAGACAGTCCTCCTTTAAATCCTGGTAACACTGGGGGTTATTACTGGAAGCTGTATTTTAGTTCTAACAGCAGCCATCTCCTTCTACTCATAAAATGATTGAGAAACCACTTGTAGAGAAAACATCATCCCTGATGATTTACATGATGCTGTATCTGTCCCCCCTTTCCTGCTCATATCAGTGTCTCGGCCATTACACGCACACTCGGGTGCCTGTTTCTGTTGGAGCAGTTGTATCAACAGAGCGCTTTCAGGGTGTGCTCACTTCAGAATCTCCATGTGTAGAAGGAGGGACTGAATGACAGCCTGAGGACAGCGTATTTCCATGTTTCCTTGCCTCTGCCAAGAGGACCTTCCCTGGGTGGACTATGCGTGCAGGGGGGGTTTGCACAGAGGAGGTGAGATGTCTGGGATGGGAGAGGGACTCATGCCACTGCCCTGCTCCTCTGACAGCCCCAGGAGGGAGGATGGGAGAATTGCTAAAAGCCTAAATTCTGCCCTTGCTGTCATCTCCCTGTCAGAACCAGTCTTGGACTAAAGCTAGGTGCTGCTTGTTGGGTAACTTGGCTTGAGGAGCACAGTGGCCAGGGAGAGCCAGCAGTGGGGTGACATTCTTCTTGCTGCCACGTCCCTGTCTCTTGAGGCTCTTTTTGTGTTTCCAAATGTTTGAGGAGTTTGGTAATTCAAGCTAAATTCAGCACTCCTAAGGTGAAATCTCTAACCCGAGATTCCCAACATATGAGTGCAGTTGTCCTCACCTCACTCTGTACTCATGGAAACAGTTACTGAGAGGGTTATTCAGCTTGTTTAGAAGAGCAATTTCTTTTTGAAGTCTCATTTAGCTAGTATTTTATATACTGTGAAGGTATGTATACACCTCCTTCCATTCATTATGTAAGGACCCTAGAGAAACTACATTCCTAACGGAGACAACTCCACTGAAGCCCCCACCAAGATCAGAGAGGTTGAAACCCTGCAGTGCTGGGTCATGGATTTCCAGCCTGAGGCCAGGACTAGTGCGAGCATAGCTTGGAGACAACCAGTTATCCGGGGAAGTTCCCATGCCCTCCAGTTCCTGGGGAGGGGCAACTGTTGGAATCCAAACCAAGATCCAGATCCAGATTCCATAGTTGGCTCCTACAGCAGGCACAGAACATGTGCTTTGGACACCCTCCTCATAACTCCACCACAGAACTTGGAGCCCCATCTGGATTCTGCGGCTGAAGCTGCTTTGAGACTGGAATCACAATTTGAGTTTCTTTCGCTCAACTTGGCAGAGATGGGGCAGAAAGAGGAATAGTTTTCTGATCTAAACTGTATGAAAATGTATACTTGGCCTGTCAGCCTCAGATCTGAGAAGGCTGCAAGTAGAACAGATGTTGAGATTATTATTATTTAACTCTAATGGCCCACGTGCACTGCTCAGTTCTTCCCCCTTGTCAGGATGTTTAGGTTGTGCTCAGGGTTCCCTATGGCTGTAAGAGATGTTAATCGGTACCATACAGGGAGGAAAATAAAAGAAATGCATGAAAACTGTGACAAGGACATAAATAAGTGACATCTGTGTCCTTAATGTCCTTCTTAATGTCCTTTACTGCTTTGTATCTTGGTTTTATTTCATTTCTACTGCACAGTATCGATAATTTTACCCCATCATATTGTACTGTAATATACTAGGATATTTCTATGTGTAAAACTTCAGTATTGCAAGAGTTTTAGAGAAAAGCAAAAAAAAAAACAAACCCAAAAATTCCTCTCTCCCCCCAAACCAAAACCCAAAGAAAATTGGTAATAGAGAAAACCTCAACTAAGAACTAACCAAAAGTTCTCCAGCAGAACTTCCCTAGTGTCTAATATCTAAAGAAGTTTGTGACACTGAAAGCTTTAGCAAACAATTTTTCAAAGTTTTAAAAGGAGAACGTTGGAATATTTGCTAGCTAGAGAGAAATCTGAGGGGGGTTTGGATCTGAAACTCAAAACACTTGCAAGAATTTTTTTACTGAAAACCAAATTAAAACCATTTTTAGTTGACATTTCAGTAATAAAGGATATCATGCTTCAGCCATTCTCATTCTACAGATGTTCCTAAGCAGTGAAATTCTGATCCTGTTCAGCTTGATGAGAATTTACCACTGACTTCCCAGAGCCAAGACTTCATCCAAAAACCTCTGTTCACAGATAAAAGCGACTGCTTGCTGGTGTATTTCTGCAGCTTTTCTTTTAATTAAGAAAAGATGTATTTTTAGATATATAGCTGACAAACTTATGCTGAGATTAGCCTTACAAAATAAGAAACATCATTCTAAGGTGCTGGTGAATTACAGAATCCGAAAAAGGTAGTTATTTTGTGTTCCAGTGTGCATTTCCACGGGACAGATCCCAGGTCACTCGTGACTTGTGTGCTCAGAGCAGCTCACCGTTGCCTGAAGGGGATCCCAGGGCAGACACAGCTTCCAGACTTGCTGAACAACAGGCGTTCAGTCCCACTTCAGGTGCCTGCATTGGCCCTTGCCCTGCTGGGGCTGTCACCAGCTCGCAGCTGAGGGGACAACCAGGAGCATCCTTGGCTTCTGCCCCAGCCCTGCAGCAACACACGGTGTCACCTGCAGGGAACAAGGGAACATCCTCCGCCAGCTCAATTCCAAAGTGGTCAGAAGACAAGCTGTGTAGTCACCTTCTGGCTAGTAACTCACTGCAGGGGTTCACTGCTGACTTTGTTTTGCAGCTGGAAGCTTTTCAACCTTTCTTCATTTTCCTGAACCTACCGTACTCTGTCGTCAGAGGAGAGCAGTTCATTTTGGAAGTCAACGTCTTTAATTACTTGAAAGAAGAAGCTGAGGTAAAATAACAGTCTGTACTTGAACTTTATAGACACTGCAGGGTCTTCATCGCCGATGGAGACCACACTTTTCTCTTGTGAGAACATTGGCATTTTCTCCAGTGGGTGGACCAAAAAGCTATTTCTCTGAACACCAAAAAGGTGGCAGCATATGAAAGCAGTTTTTCCAAATTAACACTTTTTACTGCAAATGTTACTGTGTTGACAGGTCACAGTGACCCTGGATATGAACGAGGCTTTTGAAATCATTCTGACATCCAATGAAATAAATGCCACGGAAAACCAGCAGTCCGTATCCGTACCCAGTGAAGATGGGAAAACCATTCAGTTCCCAATCAAGCCACGGCAGCTGGGAGAGATTCCCCTCAAAGTGACAGCCATGTCGTCTGCTGCTGCTGATGCTGTGGTTCAGCAGGTTCTGGTGAAGGTGAGCTCTGCCCCTGGGCTGGGGCCTGACAGAAACTGTTCCCTAGAGCAGGCAACAGGATGCAGCAAAAAGGCAAACCCATTTCCTTCTCTGCCTCTTGTTCTGCAAAGTTGGTTCCAGGTCAGGTAGCTCGAAGTAGAAAACACTTCTTTTAAAATAATTTCTCCTTGTAAAACGTTTAGATCCTTTTGCAGGAGTGAACACGTAGATCTGTTCTACAGGCCATGTCTCACATGGATCTGAAAGCAGGGTGAAACCTACTTGTGTGTGAGTGCAGTCCTGGTGCTACAGCTCAATAATCTGGAGAGTGGCCCAGATGACTGTGTTATGGACCAAATAACTGTGTTATGGCCCAAATAATGGTGTTATGGACCAAATAACTGTGTTATCGTCCATCCGCTCCATCTGGAGTGGAGCAAATACCTGTGTTATGGATGGGTGTACCTGCCTTTAGCTCAAACCTTAGTTTACATGAACGTTTCTGTGTTTTGCTAGTGGTGGTAATTCAGCCCCCAGGCTTTCTGATAAACCAGAAACTTGCCTGGCTTCGGACATCTAAGTCTGGTTCATGTCAGGCTCTGTTGCAGTGGAAGGTGGAAGACACTTGTACATCTCGTCCTAAAACAAATGCTTAAGCTGATGGAATCAGAGCGTGGCCGAGGGTGGAAGGGTGCAGTCCAACCCTCCTGCTCGGCACAGGATCAGCTGCAGCGGGATGTTCAGAACCATGTGCAGTCAGGGGTTTGATATCCCCAAGGACAGGGACTTCCCAGTCTCTCTGGGAAGCTTATTCCAGTGTTTGAACACCCTCACAGTTAAAAAAAGTATTTTTTTATGTTTAAAAGGAAGTCCCTTTATTTCAATGTGTGTGTTTTGCCTCCTATTTTGCTACTGGGCACCACTGGGAAGAGCCTGACTTCATCTTCTTTACACCCAGGTATTTATACACATTGGTGAGATGCCCCTGAGCCCTCTCTTCTCCAGTCTGACCAGTC